TGAGCGTTTATTATTTTTACTGTGCAAAATAGTATATTATACTGATCATTTTTAATTTTTTACTGAGCAAAAATTAATTAAATCATTTTATACTGATCAAAATTGAGTTATTTACTGATCGTTTTATTACTATCCTTTGCCTTTTTAGGGCTTGAAAAAGAAAGCGTCAACTTTTACGCTTGCGCGCAATTAGGCCCCGCCCAGGTGTGTACTTTTAGTTTTTACCCCACTCTACATACAGGCTGTCCCAACGAAAATGGTAATTTTTTGAGCATCTGTTATAAAGAAAATTGTAAAATAGCTTTAATGTTTTGTTTTTTTTTATTTATTAATGTTTTTAAATTTTTTTGTACTAAATTGTGTTAATACTGCTTTACGATATGTTAGATTTTGCCTAATTTTCTCGATAACTCAATTGTGCACAATATTGTACATTTTCTTGCAGCAAAGAATTTCCAATTCCATACTTTTGTTTATTTTTTGTGCTAATTTTTATTGTGCATAAGGCCCACTCGATTTTTATTGTTCAAAACAAAAAAGTTTTTCGAAATTTAGTTAATTTAGGATAGCAACTTAGAATTTTACACTAGACTATACAAACCTTATATTGATGGGAAGCTTGTCAAAAGATGTTTTGATTGGTACAATAATAAATAGTAGGTGCCATTGGAAAAAAATGAGTTTTTGACATTTTTAATTTGTCATGTTTAAAAAATCGCAGTAGGCACATGCCACTAAGCAGGTTGTTGAGTAAACACTTAAAAGATGCGGCAAACATTCAGGAATCAAACGGCGTTACTTACTTTAACTTGTGTGTAAGCATTTAGAAGGTACGAATTTMTAGACAGACCCCTGCATTTCAAAAATTCTGATAAAAAAGCGCCACACKTCAAAATTGATAACAGATAAATGAAAACAACCTCTATAAAAGTTATTTGTAATTTAGCGTAGAATCCAAAAATAAAATCAAACTGAGTAGATTCCATTAAAAAAAACATAACTTTAGTGTTTTTTTAATATTGGAACACCCTGTATATAAACCGCAATATTTTTAAAATGTGCAGCAGAAACGCACCTATAATCTAAAAAAAAAAGAAAAAGTTAGTTATTGAGCTTTTTGGACCGTTGGGACACCCTGTATAAATAAATAGAACAAAAACTGATTTTTTGTCTATAACAGAAAAAATAAGCTTTTTGATATATTATTATCTGTCGGTTGTATAATTTTTATTAAAAAAAGTTTTCTGTAGTTGCCGAAGTGAAGAACGAAATTTCTGATTCTGACCCCGAAGATGACCTAACTCCCGCTCTTCCCAGTGATTTGAAACATGTGCCACTCAAATTTACCAAACTACCCRTTGAAGAAACCCTGAAAAGATCTGAAGAATTTTACAATTTAATGAATAAACGTCGCAGCGTCCGTACTTTCAGTTCCGAACCTGTCCCAATGGACGTAATCAAAAATATCATTCGGACTGCAGGAACAGCCCCAAGTGGCGCCCACACCGAACCATGGACATTCGTCGTGGTAACATCAATGGATGTCAAACAAAAAATCAGAACAATCATCGAAGAAGAAGAAGAAATTAACTACAAAAAAAGAATGGGAAAAGTGTGGACAACTGATTTGAAGCCGCTCAGAACAACGTGGATCAAAGAATATTTAACCGAAGCTCCTTGTTTGATTTTACTCTTCAAACAAATGTATAGTTTCAGGGGGGATAATAGAAAAAAGTTGCACTATTACAACGAACAAAGTACTTCGATTGCTGGTGGGTTTTTACTAACAGCAATACATGTAAGCAAATCAAAGAAATGATAAGAAAAATTTGGATTAAGTTTGATAACAGTTCGCAGGTTTGGTTTCATTAACTTCAACACCGTTGAACAGTGGTCCTGCTCTTAGAACGTTGCTGGGGAGACCCTCTTCGGAAAAACTTACTTTGCTATTTCCGGTGGGATATCCGTCCAAAGATTGTCTGGTTCCGGACCTGGAACGAAAACCTGTTGACCAAATAATGGTAGAAGTTTGAAAGAATAATTCACATTTTGTCCACTGTAATAAAAAAAAATTTCTGGTTTTTTGTTTATAACCAAATACATAAAAAAT